AAGAAAGAGACAGTTAAGGGTCAAAAGAAGGACAAACTGAAACTCCTGAGGTTTATCCTGCTCAGTTAACTCAATATCCAGAAAGTTCAGACAGGAGTGACCAACTACAAAAATGAAAGAGCCCTCACTGAAATGAAGGAGAGAGCCTGTACTGCCACAGGAGCATCCCCTCCCAGTGTCAAAACTTGAGCTTACTTCTAAAATAAGTGTCAGCAAAGATTTTTAGCCTTTTCTCATTATGGGCAGGATCGATTTGGAATTCCTGTAGTTACACTCTACCCTGACTGACTCAAGGATATGTTTTACAACCGAAAGGTGAACACAATTTCAGTGAATTACACACAAGATGTAACCTGTTTGCTGTGCTAACATTATGTTAACTCTAGTGAGATGATCTATTCTTCATTAAAAGAAAAAACGATCCATAGCTATAGGGTGAATTACCCTAGGTTGTTTGTGCTGCTCTCCTGATGATTGCTCTGCTATACAGATTAATGTTTAATGTGCAATTTGTCTTATCCATGTTACTTTGTACTGCTCATACATTGAGCTACTTGGATGAAACTTGCCCAGTGGTCTCCTCGGTCCACAGTATAAATAACAATAATTGATTCACAATCTCTCCCATTACACAGGCTGACTATTAATGATTAAGCCATTTATGGAGGCAGTTCCACAAGCCCCAGCTGAGCAAAGGAAATACCAGGAATGATGTTCAACCTTTGCTTTTATGGTGGTTTCCTTCGTAACACCACTCAGGGAGTGGTTCAGTATCTCTTAGAGCCTCCATGACCCTGCTCTCACAGGACTCTTTCTGCACCGCTTGCTGCTTAACAACTGCAAATTTTTCCTGATGTTTATCAGATTTGGACTGAAGTAATTTCAGAAAGACAAAGCTTCTTGTACTGTTTTGCCTTTGACAAACAGAGACCTCATGCAGAAATCTTTAATCAGAAAATGGAACTATTAGGTGTGACATGTTGCTACAAGGCAAGCAGAGAAGCAGGGATCAGTGACCTGAACTGTACGGCTGCGGCTGGAATTTGTCCTTGGAGGCCATAAAGAGACATGGAAGCCTCTGGAGGGTTTTGTGGAGCTACATCCCTAAATAATTCTTAACAAAAAACCCCATCAGGATTAGTGACTACCTCTGATTTTTTTGTTTGGTTTCTTTTTGAAAAGGCAAGAAGGTGCTGGTACCTTCTGCTTCCAAGGCTGAATAAACATTTTGCACTAACTGTAAGCAGATAAAATGTTTGAGTAACCTTTGAAAGTAGGGTGAATTAGGTTCTACTCCAAATCAAATAGCTGTTGTAGCGGCTAAAATAATCTTTCTCTAGTATCTTCTTTCTGGTTTCACATTTTGAATTCTTCCCTATCACTCAGTTTAGCAAAAAAGAGTAGAAAATTTTTGCTCATTACAAATAATGAAATATTTAGGATATTTCTGGGGAAATCAAGAATTCTGTGTTAAATCTGTTTAGCACTTTGAAAGCAGGATTAGGCAAGGACCACATTTCCCTGTCTTCTCAGTCTGATTTTTTGGCACAGTGGTTGCCTCACACATCTTGTAAGAAGAACTCAATGCAGGCACTTGCTAGGCAGCCTCAGAGCACAGAGACTTCTTACTGCCATGTGGAGGATGGTTTAGTCCTCCTTTAAATGGGACTTTAATGGCATTTAAGTACAGGCAATGCTCAGATGGGGACAGCTCTGTGCACACAAACATTGGGAGCAGATGTTCTGATGTTTGCTATCTCGAACCTGTACCCTCTGTAACAAGGTTACTTGAGGTAATCAGCAGGTAGCCATTCTTTTTTTTTTTTTTTTTTGGTCTCCACAATCTTTCCCTTTTCTGCCATGACCAGAGCAAAAGAAAATTTGCATCTCTTACTGTCAGATAAAACTATTGGCTTTAAATGGTATTACCTTTCAAAAATGGAAATCTATTAATTCTCTTTTATGTGATTTCTCTTCTATAGACCCTCCCGAGATAATTGTCTTTTGTTTATCAACTTCTTCACTGCAGAATATTGCCAGTGTCACGTTTTCAAACTAAAAAGTGAGAACTTGGTATTCTCAAGTTTTTCCCCTGTTAATTGCTATTTATCAGTCATAAGATAAAAACTACTCCTGGCAAGCAAAAAGAGCTCACAAGAGTCACAGCTCAGAGAGAGAGTCCTGTTTGTTCATTTCAATAATATTTGTGCTCCAGTAATTAATGTGTCTGCTCTAATAAATGCACATAACAATTTTTAAGTAATATATATTTGTAATTTCAATTAAATTACATGAATTTTTCAGGCACTTGCCCATTCTTACACATGGGGACTGGTGTTTGGTCCTGCAATCAGTGGATTTCCTTTACCATAAAACATAATCCAGTGAAGAGGTTCTGAGAGGGAACTGAGATGCCTTTTTGGCTAATGAATATCCCAGTATAACTGAGCAAAGTTTCACTGAAGTTACTGTTCACTCACTGATAAAATTGCTTTGTGCTCCTGATTAAAATCAGTAGGTACTGCAGGTACATCTTGGCCATCTGAGAAATACAGAAACAATTTTAGGAATAGCCCCACAAAAAGGTACCAGATGAGGTCTGGGAAAGGCCTCAGATTAGTAGGACTCTTGTTTGCCCGTGGTTACAGTTCTAATTCTTACCATGCACTTGCGATCATCCACCCCAGATAAATCCTCCTCAAACTCCTTTCCTATATCAAATTCCATGATGTAGTTTCTGAAAGTGCTTAGAGTTTTAATGATCATATGATCCCCGTTCTGAAGGATTTCTTTGTCAGGCTTTACCAAGTTTGCTATTTTTCTGACGGCAACATTTACATCTGAAAAAGAAAAAGTGTTATTTTTAATCCGGAAAAGTCGTCCACAAAAACAAGCTTGTCGCTTTTTGGGGAGAACTAGAAGGAACAAAGATAAATAAAATGTCCAGATCTTTCAGGCCAGACTTCTCATCAGGAAAAAGTCCACCACTGAATTCTTTTCTCATCACCTGGAATCTTAAAAAAATTTGTATTGGGCAATTCATAAGGCCTTGCATATTTCTCTAGAGATACTAACACAACATCAAATGCAGACACACAAAATTGCATAATGTACTGTACTGATTCTTTATTAAACACAAAAATGTTACTCTTTTCAAATTATGATTGTGTTTTTTAAAACCCAAAATCTGTCAGCTCTTCAGGCTATGTTGTTTCATCTCTGTTAATGCAAGCTTCAATATAATAAAAAGTAGAGGCTGATTAAGGCACAATAATTTTCCTTAAGGCAACTCTTAAAAGTGCATTCCTGAAGAAAATATTTCTCACAAAAATGATTTATGACTATACATGAAAAAAAATAGATTAATGTAAAGACCAAGGTGACATTTATTGATTATTTACTGAAGAAGTACAAAGGGAACCTTACCCAGTGCTTTCAGATACTCCTCAAAATTGTCATTGCTGACCATTTTCCAGTACCCATTGAAATCCACAGGCATCCCTACTTTAGGGAATTGTCCAAACCAAAGGCTCAGAAGCGTGTGCTGATTGTGCCCCACACAGCTCACTGCCTTTCTTTGGGCAAGCTGCAACTCTGGTTTCTTTTATCTCTTTTTCAGCCCATGGAGCTATGCAAGTCCTCCTAAGCCGATTATTGCTGAAGTGCTGCCTTTAAACCCTTCCACAAGGCTGAACCTCGGAGGTTTCCAGTGACAGCAGGATGACTTGATTCAAACTGAATGAAACTTTCACCTTTCCTGTAACTTCTGCAGGGGACATCCACTTTAACCTTATTACTCTGCATTTCTCTTGTCACCCAGAAAAAGAACCCTTAAAATAGCTTTAGTTTAGGAAATCAGCCAAAGCTACCCAAGTGCTTACCTTGTATGGTTTCTGAGGCAAAATCTTCTTTCTTGAGTATGTTTCAGCTACTTTGTATCTTCTTCTTTCCAGAAAACAATCACACAGGCTCTTTCAGTGAAAGCAATTTGGGTTTGGCTTTAATTCAACCTGTCCCCAAGCTCCTTAATTCTAGAGAACCGCCAGTGGAAGCTGTCTGGTCAGCTGAGGGCTCTAAAAGGGCCAGTGAGGTGGAATCTTGTATGAAGAAGCAGTGGTTAGCTCTGTATATTGAAAAATGCCACATCACTACTGAACACATAATTTAAGAAACTTTGAAACACAAAAATAACACTTTACAGAGTTTCTATATTCTTTGAAGGTGTCTTCTGTCAGAAATGAGAAACACTGATCCAGCACAACAGGCATCCAGCACAGAAGAGAACAGATTTTTTTGGCTAAAATTATGGCTCTAAGACTGAGCCCTATCAAATAATTTCATTTATTTATTTTCCACTGTGTATTTTCAAATGGAACAGCTGATGTTCCTCTTGCATATATTATCCACTCTGGGGCTTTGGTAACTACTTACCCTTGCAGAAGGCTCTGGATCAGAGAAGTAAAGAAACCCGCTTTGAACGTGGGGATGAGGATTGTCTGGAATTTGAGAACCCAGAGGCTCAAAAGTAACATAAGCTTTACATGTGTTTTGAAGTGCTCACACGAAAGAAAGATTTATTTCCATCTCTTGGCCAAACTGCCGAAACTCAGAAAGTTATTTAGGGTCTTAAAAAGTGAAATTTTAGGATGAGCATATAGTTAAACATATCTGTATAAAGTTACGGCTCATTATATTTTGCTGTTTCAACACTAAGCCATCTTCATGCTAAAACAGCCTGTAAGATCACAGTATTACAATTTAGGAAAGTACTATGTTTGACCTTTAAGCATTACTAAAGATGAACATTTATTATGAAGATCTCCTTTCTTTTACTTTCACGAGGAAGCTGTTCTTTCCATACTTCAGGCTGTGCAGCTGAGCATCCTGGTTCACTTACACCAGGATTCGTGTATTTAAAACACCACACCATTTCAAGAAGTTTCGGGCTGATGTGCTTTCTTTTTATTAACAAGAAACAACTTTCTGAAGGATTTTCAGTGGAAAAGCTCCCTGTGTGTCGAGGTCAGCCCCTCCAGCCATCAGTCCCTCAGAGAGGTTGCTGTTGGGCTGTGCAGTTTCAGAGGTTGCAGCAGGTCCCCCTCGTTCCTCCTCTCGCTCTCCTCTGTGTAGATGTTGTGCTGGGCAATGTAGGCTACGACAGGGTCTGGCAGGAGGTATTTCACACTCAACCCCCTGCACAGGGCAGAGCGGATCTGGGTTGCACTGATTTCGTTCTGAATCCACTCTTTCACCAGGAAGATGTTGTGCTGAAATCGAGTCAAAAGGTCTGATTCCCGGATAAACTGAGAGGGGTCAGAGCCAGCCCGGCTAATACAGACCAAACCAAACTTCTCCACTATTTCTTTGATGTCTTCTTCCTTCCAGAGATTGGGGGTCTTAAACGTCTGTAGAAAATCAGCCCCACAGAGCAGCTTTAATTCTGGTAGAACTGGAAAGATAACAGGAAATAAGAGATGTCTGTCCTTGCTCAGTTTTCTAGGAAGTTTATACTTAAAATTGGTTTTAACTCATCACTTCTTTTCCACCCTCTACCCATTTTAAAAATAATTTAGCTTTACTCCAGTTTGGTTTTGGTGATTTTTTCAAAAGGTTGCAAAAAAAAAAAATTAGATTTTATGTCTCATCACAATTACTTTATCACCTACTTCATCAGCACTCAGCATATTAAACATTATCAGTACAAAGGTAAAGGAGAATTCTTCCTCCACTCAAGCAAGCCAAAAGGGGGGAGAAACAAATAAAGAGAATTATGACAAACTGTATCTAATCAACTACTTTACAATAACCCAGCTAGATAAACTACCGAATTTTATCTCACTTTTAGACAAATTTGAATCAGCAGAATATTTTACAGATATTTTGTATCACGTGTCCATGACATTTTCACTCTTTATCTTGGAGTAATGACCAAGAAGGATACTTCACCAGGATATTTTTCTTTGTTTTCTCTCCATTTCTTATTTGCTCTCTGCTGCCTGAGCCCCAGCACAGAACCATCTCTTTCCTCAAATCTCTTCTGGGCAACTCATCATTATTCCGAGTATTTTTCAAACACTGACCAGGTATTTTCACAGCCTTGTATTCATGTGCATACAAATGAAGGGGAAGGATGGAGGCATTGCCTCCCACTTGTGGCTGCAGGTGGTTAACACATCTGCAAGTCTTCTACAAACACCTTAAACGAGCAATTCAGAAAACAAGAAACGTCCCAGTGATGATGCACAAAAAGCAGACCTTTTTTATTCTCTGCCAGCTGCAAAGATACAACTCATCAACAACCATGAACAACTGAAATGTATTATTCATGGCCAAGAGAGGCTGCAACACTACAGGAAAAACGCAATGTATCAAAACTCGAGCAGCACCCTAGCAAGTCATAGGGCCAGGGAATCTGATTAAACAGGAAACTGAGAACTGACATTGTTCCAGAACCTGCCATACTTTTGCTGTCAACAGAAGCTTTTCTGGCCAGAAACACAGTAAACATCAAGGCATCAGCATCACTGGGGTGGTATCTGTATACTTTGTCCATTTTCCAATACTGGAATTACAATTCTAAGTAACCCCTGTATTTTCGATACTTTTTATTCATATATTCTGTGCTTTGCAAAACAAGCAGGGCCACAACATACATCTCTGACACGGCTAAAGTTATGCTTATAAAACCAGGATTCAATACAGCTCCAAGGTCTCCTGTCTGAGTGGGAATTATTACAAAACACTGCACCAGCAGTTATATTGGCATGGCTTGTTTTTGGCAGGCAGCTCCAGCTCTCAACACTCACCAGCTACTCTGCTCAACTTTTTCATTATCAGTGTAATCTGGGAAAGCTGCACAGTTTTTAATACTACACAAAGAGTCATGTTTACAGTTATGAACCAACCTGGGTGCTGGCAAGAAAGGGAATCCCCTGTGGGTCTTTCCTTGGGATGTTTGTCTTCCATGAATTCCCTCTTGGACTGGAGCAATCTGAGTGATTCATTATAATGGTGCCTGCATTTAAAAGAAAGGCTTCTGTGTGAGATAATCCTCTCAGAGATGCAACAAAGAGATTACCTGGCACTTTCCCATTCTAGAACAGAGTCTGCCTTTATGCACTTTGGATTTGAATACAATTTGTTAAGAATCTGGCATATTCACTCTGCCATGAGATTAGTATCAGTGCAGTTAACATTTTGTGGAATTCACAAGCAATGTCCTTTAATGGCACTCTGGTTTTGAAATCCTTTTTGAAATTCTGCCATTATGGCAGTTTTGGTAGCAAAAAAAAAAAAAGAAAATCCATTACAGTTAAAACATTGTGGAGGTTTTTGCTTGAAATAGGATTAAATCACACTGCAATCATTAGATTTAATTTCTTGATTAAATACAACTCCTCATGATCATGTTTTTAGAACATGTGCTCAGATTTCAGGAGACATTTTTGTTCTCTCTCCTCCTCTTCTCCACAAAAACATGTTCCCTGAGTTTTCACCTTGTGGTCTTTCCCTTCATTTTAATTGAAAGAATTCTGAGAAACTAAAAATATGCAATTCTTGTAAGATTTCTGACATCTGCTGTGCTTCTAATTTTACTGAGTTCAGATGCATGAAGGCAGTCAAGGATCCCGTTGCCAGTTTTCCCAGGTTTCCATTACTTTATTCTTTTGCTGCTCCTGATCACTGGTGCCCCCCTGCAATGCTGGCATTGCTACCTCATGCAGGGACCTTTTCTTTGATCATAAAGGCAAGTGCCAGTGTCAGATCCAAACACCTGAACTCCCTTCCTTCCCAATCAGCATGTTCAGAACAGCCCCTGACCTGCACCATCCCGAGCCACGCTCAGGTGTTGCACATCTTGGCACCAACCAAACATGCTCCAGGAAACGAGCTCATGGTTAGACAGGACAGGCAGGCACAGACTCACATCAGTGTCCAATCTCTGTCTGGCACACAGGGAGCTGAAATGACCATCAGCTCCTGTGTAACTGCACCAAAGCAAAGATTCTGGGTTGCAAGGCACAGTGTGAATTCAGTGCCTGTACAAAGCCACAGATGACCCTTGGAATGTCTGATGTAAGGAACGAGTTTATAGTTTAGGGATTTAAAGTTGCCCTCTTCAAATCATCTAAGTACTTAAGCCACAGGAATAAGCTGCACGTGTGTCAAGGACCTGCACCCAGACAGGCTGCAAAGCAAACCCCAGTAATTTTTAGTGCTCAGCCACTGGTGAAAGAAACTGCACAGACAAGAGGTGAGGGACATATGGCAGCAGAGAGAAGGTTCCAGTAGCTTGGTCTGTGCCTTCCTACACTTCTAATTTTAATCCTGCCTTGTTGTAAACAAGATCCTATGTATAGTCAAGCACATTGACTGTGTACTGTGTTCTGACATTCTTGGGCCACGATTCAAAAACAAGAACACTTGGCAAAGAGCTCCCTGCAGGAATAACGTTACAGGCTCTGCAGAACCTGAGCTGCACAGGGGCCGTTCAGCAGGAGGGTTTCAAGGGCTGGACCACGAGGAGGGTTATGTTGCTGTAAAGATACACCAGAAAGTACAACCAACCTGCCAGTTTATTAAGCATTTCCTGAACTGTGTATGAAGCTCTGAATAACTACAGAACTCAATCATAAGCACATCTCAACAAAAGGTGGGTAATGCGGATCTTTGCCAATTCTTAATTAATTTTGAGTATATCTGCACACCAATCAAATCTACAGTACAAGAGGAGCGAATGTAGCTCTCTGGTTACTGACAGTACCGTTTCCTTGGCTAGGAAGGGTATTCTCAAACAGCAGGTAAGTGGAAATTAGCTCTATTATGTTCCCTCCTGCTTTCAAAATAAAAAAGCCTTGGGATAGTCTCCAACATTTCCATTCTCATTTAATGCACCACCGTAAGTGGGATATGAGCTTTGCTGCTTAAAATTCTTTTATGTCACCACTACTTGTGAGCCTTTCCAAAAATCCACAGATTTTGATGAAATGTGACATTTTTATCGCACTCAGTTAAAACAAGTACTGTAGGAAAAGGCCATTCATGTATCTCAGGACAAAATGTTCCTCTGCAGTTCAGCGTACAACTCAAAATACTGATGAGAAGAGACATTCAGGTACAATAATGATTTTTACCTTTGCCTGGCAATAGGAATGTCTATATCTGTACTGAAGTTTCCTACCTGAGGGAGCTCACAGAGAAGGCAACAATTGCTTCTTGGGTCTTTGAGATGGGAAGAATCTACAGACTAACCTTGAAAACACGTGAAGAACAACAACTCCACAATAAACCATTGCCTGTTTATACTTAGTAAGATTCTAGCTCTAAAACCAGCTCTTTTTTATCTTTTTTCTACCCGTGACATTTATAATACAATGGAAAGCACAAACACCCACATGAGCATTCATCAGAGTGCTGCTTCCCCCTTCAAGGGAGAGGGTTCAGCTTTACATTATGGGACTGGTTCAGTTCATTAATACAAATCAACATTAGGAAAGAAATTATTTAGGCTCATTTCTCTCCTTAACAAGCAGCCAGTGTTAACATTTTGTGAATTTAATCACAAAACTAGAGGTTCACTTTCTAGGCGGACAAGAAGTCTGGCTGTTCGTACCACATGGGTACTACTTTGCCTGAGCAGAAAATCATACATGTAGGTTTTATTTACTGTACCTCTTCTCCTGAAGGACTCTGAAGTGGATTTACAGCTTACAAACCCAATCTTGCAAGCAGTACTGGCTTGGAGCTGTGCAAGATCAAAGCCTTTGTAAGTAGGATCACCTGATCTGTGAGGTTTGGGTCTGTTTCCTCTAGGGGAAAATAGTTTTACAGAACCGAAGTTTAGGACAAAAATCCCAAACCCAGCCAGTACTGCAGAATAGACCCTTAGCTGATTTCTCACACTGGGACATACAGTTGTGATTAGAGAGAAGAACAGGGTTTTCTGCAGACAGGGTGGCACTGTCAAGCCTTCCATCCCAATCCTATTCTGCTTCCTGGAGGGAAGGGGCAAAAGGAGCAAGTGGATATCTGTGTTCCCTCAGTGAAGCAAATAAAAGCTGAATGAAAAGTTGTTTTGTAAATATGTAGTGAATTCTTATGTATGCTTTTGTTAAGTAACAGGTCTGGCTTTTAATTGCTCTCACAGGAGCCAAAAGACCTTCCAGGGCAGTTGTTGGAAGGCACAATTTAGAGCCTTAAGCTACACGGACACCTGTTTCCACTTGGAAAATAACTTATAAAGTGGAGGTAGAAATGAAGAATCAGTGACAGCTCTTAGAGCACATTTGCTGTAGACACCCAGGAGATCTTTCAGTTTATCTGTTGACTTCTGCAGCACCTTGTCCTTCCAAAAGATGGTTTAGCACAGGAACTTTGTGTTTTCATACCTTGCCTCATAATGCACTTCTTACCAAAAAGGAAAGGGCACATTTCAAAGTCCTTGCATCAACTTAACAGGTTTGGGACAAATGGTTTAGTTTTTCCTTCCAGCACAAAGCCCCAGCAAACTCAAAGAGATTTTGAAGAAAACATCAGCAGTGATGAGTTTGGGTTTAACTTGCCATTAGAGTTAATAGAGACTTTTCAAGGAGGTGTGAATAGATAAACCTGGAGGCACAATAATGCTAACAAAGCTAATCTGGAATAGGGATGCTCCTGAAGAATTGAATTGTTGGTAAACTCTCTCACTTTCTGATTACAATCTCTATTACCTGCTTAGAGACTTAAGAACAAGAAAAACAACACGAGAGCCAAGAACTTTTCCTGCAGAACTCGTTCAGTGGCCAGAATTTTGCAGAGGCTTTCCACGTGCATTGAACTACTTAAAGGGCATTAGTGCAGGGCTGTGGTTATCACCCAGGTTTGGGGAAAGCTTATCTGCCTTGCACTGGCAAAGGAAAGTCTCCTGGTGGGGAATCCTGACTTCTGAAGGAAAGGGACGTGAATTTTCACTGCCCACAGGCACAATACTTTGTTTCACAGCAAATGAACACAACCAGACACGTCCTGCTTTGCCTGGGTGTTCCACAGGAATGAGGTCTGTGCATTGACCTGGCAGTCAGTGATTTCATAACGACAGAAAACAGACAATGTAATTACCTTAATACTTTGACTGTCTCTGTCCATGTCTCCTGCTCACTCTCCCATGGATCAACTCGAATCCAGTCAGATGTCCTCAGTGCTAGTTTAGCCATTGCTATCCTGTGCCTTGCTGAAACCAAGCCCTTCTTTCCGTAGTTGTCATTAACAGGAGACACTATGCCTTCAATCACCTGGTACCTTCCTTTTGAAAAAAAAAAAGAAAAGAAAAAAGAAAATTATGTCCTCTTCACAGAACCTTGAAAATTTAGGGTGGATAACACCTTGGGAGCTCATCTAGTCCAACTTCTTCAAAGGTTAACTGTCATGGTTAACTACAAAGTTATAAGACACTATTTACAACTTGTTTTGGGTTTTGTTTTTAATACATTAACAGCAATTAAAGTGCAGCCTTTCTGTTCCTCTGTGAACTGCTCATAATTGCTATCAATATGTTTATCTTGTTATATGATCCATAAAGGAAAGCTGGATGAACAGACAATTTCAAAGCAAGTAGAGATATGAATAATTTATGTTGCAAAGTACCAAATTGTTAGATATGATTAAGTTTCATAGTCCAGCAATTACAGCTTTGATACAGCCAGAGTAATGGATGACTTAACTAACACTACTTTGTTCTTAAGCATCTGATGTTTGTTTATCAAAATCATTGTGCCTTCTTGGGTTAAAGCAAGAATTATGGCATATTATTGCAGCTGTGATTAATGTGACTCAGACACATCAGAAGATTCAAGAACAAAGATGGGGCTAATGGAGTCTAAAATGAGACTTACAAACACCAGCTTAGCAGACACTGAAGTCCCCTTCTATCTGGCTGATCATGTTAATTAAATT